GAGGAAAGCACGTCAACATTAGGACCCTGTCTGCTCATCGGTGGCGGCAGCTACTGGCTTGCCAACTTCCACCCCTTCGTGGAGGCATACCAGAACTCGAAGTCGGTCAGCGTTCAACACCCATCCCCCAACGACCGAGACCGTTGTGTAGAAGAAAAGCACGATACGCTGCCTGAGACAGACTTTGCTCTAGGTAGCCTCGCCGCCACATCGGGACTCGACCTGAAGACGACTCGCATTTCACATCACCCCTACTGGGAAGACTGCGATAAGGAGCCCCCTCTTATCGCGACTGATTGGGTTCTCGTCGCTTCCAAGACCAGTCAAGCCAATATTCTCCGCCGATTCCCCTCGGAGACCATGCCTCTTCTCAAAGAAACACCAATCAAGACAACAAGCGCCGTTGTGCCGAGTGCCACTGTAGTGTCGACGGGTCGAACATCTGGCCAGCAAAGGGGCGAAGTCTGTGACATTCCAGCGTACGTCAGCGCCGAGATGAATGGTACTGGCAAGGCCACGCGCGAGTGGTTTATCGATGAGCCGTGCCCTTACGACGACGAAGAAGGGTGGATTCGCGGAGGCATAGGCGTAGAGGGCGACAGCGGCGCTGCCATTATTGACGCTGAGAGTAACTCCTTGGTCGGCCAGCTTTGGGGCCGCAATAGATATTGGGGCAGCGGTCCTCGCGTAACGTATTTCACCCCCATCGGCGATCTATTTGACGATATTCAGGAGAGATGTGGCGAGCAAGCTCGACCTCAGCTCCCGCAGTATCGGGATGAATCAGAATGTTATCCAGTCTACCCCTCTTGTCGACAGTGCTACGACCTACGAACCTACCTCGACAGCCGACGGAGTTCCCGCGAGTCACTTCGGTCCATGATCGGGCACAACGAAGGCGATCACGGAGACTTGACGTCGATTGGTGGAACATCAGAGCTGGCGACACCGAAGGACCACGCACTCTGGGCCCGGACCTCTGGCTTCGAGGAACTCGGTTCCTCATTTACCAGTATCATGTCACCTTCCGGCGCTCACCCATCCTCCCTCACGCCACAATCAGGTACCCCAGGTATCGTAGATATCAAAAGCCCGTACGCCCTGACCCTGAGCGCAGAGGATCTCTACGGAGACGACTTCACGGGGACGACAGAACGCGGCTCCAGCAAGCGAGCAGCCGCAGTTCCATTGGCACGAAGTTCAAGTCATAGTACCAAGAGGCAAAGGTTGCATTGATTATGCTATTCCGAGGCCGATTGATATCTCCGGTATCAGCCAGGGAATCCGCCTCTCGCCATCTTCTTTGCTCTTTGATCGCGGCGATTGTGGTTTGCCCGAGAGCTCTTGCTGGCTTCCTTTCTCCTCCGCGCAGCCTCGGTCTCCTTTTCGCCAGTAGGACCGGCCACATTACCGCCTCCACGGCCTCCGCCTCCTCTTCCACCACGGCCGCGACCTCCTCGTCCACGGCCGCCTCCGCCACCCCGTGAGGAGCTGCCACCACCATTTTCAGAGTCCTCTGCGCCAGAGCCAGCCGGACTAGCTCGCCATGCCGTTGACAGAATCTCGGTCTGAGTACCGGTGAATGCAGCGGCACCGCTGTACTTGGCCTCGAGACGTCGCTTTTGACCCGGATTCCTCACCAGCATCAGTGCCCAACCCTCAATGGCCTCATCCGTCATGCCAGTCTCTTCTCTCAACTTTCCTCTCGCCTGGCCCCTCCTTGTCGTAGCCTGCCTGTCAAATACACTGGGGTCGGCTTGGAAGGCTTTGTACAGTGTTTCTTCGCTGGCATCCTTCTGGCCGTCGGCCTCTTCATTGGCGTTGTCGACCGTGCCTCCAACATCGTCTGCGTCGTAGGTGTCGTCACGTTCGTCGTCATCGGAGTCGAATGCGGCGAGTGCTGATAAGATGGCTGCCTTGTTTGGTGCAGTCGATCTATCCTTGAGCACGTCGTCGGCTGTCTTTTCGGGTCCCTTCTTTCCAAAGTGAAGCTTGGAAACGTCCAGCTCCAGTCTGTCGAGTTCATCGTCGTCAAACACATTGTGGCGTTCAGGTAACTGCGGTGGCGTTGGTCTAGGTTCAAGCTGGCTTTTCCTTCTTTCCAACGTGGGGGATCTATGATATCGTCAGCCTTACCATAGTCAAGTAAAGAAACAGAGCAAACATACAACGGAGCAGAGCGGTCCATCGCCGCAAGGTGCGGAGGCAATGAATCCTCTAGTAAATGAGCCGTAACAATCTCCGTATTATCACCGTATTCGTCAAACAGCTTCGAGATGAACCCTGACCCCAGATCCGGAAACAGATCTTGAATGAGTGATATCTGACTCTGCCGGTGCATGTGCAACTCCGCCTGAACCTGTCCCTCTTCCGCGACATCTTTGCCCTTGCCCTTGTCGACCTTCCTCTTCACGAGCCTCTTTGGCCGCATCATTCCGCCACCAGGCTTCTTGAATCCCTCCAGCGCTGAAATCCGTGACTTCAACGCCGTCGACGCCGCGCCCTTCTCCTCGGCCCTCTTGGACAGCTGCTTCAGCACCGGCGTGACGGTGACGAGCTCCGCCACGAGGGAATCGTTCACGTTCAACGGGCCAACCCTATGCGTCTCGGCAGTGGATTTTAGGGAGAATAACACGTCAGCCAGCATCCCGAAGCGAGGCTGCTCGCCCTCCGTCAGGCCTACCAGGCAGAGGTACATCGTCGCGACGAGGACCTTGCGCAGCGGCGGGTTCGTAATCTTGAAGGCCGTGACCAGGCCGTCGAAGAAGTCTGAGCCGGCGAGGAAGAAGGATGCGGCGTGTGGGGAGGCGTGGAGTAGATGGTTCAGGTTCGCGAGGCGGGCCTCGAGGGATTTGAGGTCTGCTTTGAGACCGGCTTCCATGGATTGCGCGAGTGACTTTTTGAGGCCTGCTAGGGGGTGCTCGAGGGCGCTGGCGTGGAGGTGGAAGGCTTTTGAGAGGGTGGTGGGCGCATTTTTGCGGTAGAGTTTTGAAAAGGCGCAGAGGAAGGGGGCTGTGATTAGGGGTGTTGGGGGTGGTGTTGTTGGGTTTGTGAGGAGGCGGGATGTGAGTGTGAATGACGACCTGAGTAGGGCCTTTGATGTCGTGGAGGAGCATCCTAGGATGGGTGAGGGTCCTGCTTCGGCGACTTGTGTTGTAAAGGAGGAGAGGAAGGCTGGGATGGAGGCGTCTTCTTTTACGGCGGCGCGGGAGAGGTCTTTATCTGAGAGGGCGAGGTAGGCTTGCGTGAGGGCCGTCCAGGCTTCGAGGAGGGCTTCCCATTCTTGAGAAGTGAGTTTTGCGCGCCACGATGGCGTGGGGAAGGGGGCCAGGGGCGGGAGGGAGGTTGCCATGATTGCTGGAGCTCTGGGGTTTCGTGAGATGGTGAGTGTGATCTAATGTGAGATGTGCGCTGGAACTGGCGGGGTAAGATGCTCTCAGGGATGTGAGGGATTCTCTCGCGGGATGCAGGAATAGCAGAATGCTCTTAGAAAGAGCTCAACGTCGGGTCGTAATTGCGCATCTGGTGAGTTTTGGTAACGCGCTTGGAGGTGGCGATGAGGTGAAGTGAGGCGGCTGGCCGTGACATGTCGTTCTCTCAGATCTCGCCGGATGATTCATTCATTGACGTCGGTGCCTCTCCCCAGCCGGGCCATGCAGTGAGCTTTCGGCGGAGCTGCGAATGCGGAAGTGGGTACCTTCATGGTGGGGTTCGTTCTTTCTCTTGTGCCTGTTTGCTTGTTGCCGCCGCAAATGGTCAGCTCAGAAGATACGTATCTTTTTTCGACGTCCCAGTTTCTGCGCTAGGCCTACCTAGGCTTAGCCACAACACTCGGTAAAGCCCTACTTCCCAAACCCCACGAAAAAAAGTTCGCGATCGCAATTCCCTCCGACTGCAAGCTCTCAGATAGCCCAAAAGATCATCAGCCTTCATCACTTTGCCGCAACCAAGCCGTTCGAGTCGTGAAGGAAATTCAATCTCTCCCTAACCTTACCAAACACCCAACCGAACCTCTTCGTTCAACAACACTTCAAAATGTCTTACAACAAGGACAAGGACTTCGGCGAGGCGCCCAAGACGCACAAGATCCGCATCACCCTCTCCTCCCGCAAGGTCCAGTCCCTCGAGAAGGTCAGCGCCGAGCTCATTGAGCGCGCCAAGTCAAAGGACCTCCGCGTCTCCGGCCCCGTCCGCCTGCCCACCAAGACCCTCAAGGTCACCACCCGCAAGACCCCTTGCGGTGAGGGTTCCAAGACCTGGGATTGCTTCGAGATGCGCATCCACAAGCGTCTCATTGAGTGAGTTTTTCGCTGTTGGCGTAAAATGATTGGAGCGAGAATGCTAATGATTGAACAGCCTCAACGCCCCCACCGAGATCGTCAAGCAGATCATCATCAACATCGAGGCCGGTGTCGAGGTCGAGGTCACCATTGCCGCATAAGCGATTGGTATCCAAGCCCCGAAACAAAAATGTTGTAAAGACGAGTTGTTGTTGTAGGAGGGACGAAACGGTATGGGCTTCGGACTTGGGAATGCTGCGTTCGCTAAGCCAGCGACGAGGGCTGGCCGAAAGGTTTTACACCTCAACGCAGCTATGCAAAGGCGGCGGGACGAGTGAGGCGGTCTAGATACCACCCGAATCAACTGATGACCCCCCATTCTGAGTTCCTCTATTGTGATGTGTCGTATGGATATGCATGAAGCCCAGTTGAAGTACCTACTGTGATCTTGGCCATATTGCATGTGAAGTCAAGGGCGGTGGGCACGAAGGATTGCGAGTGTCAGGATGTTGAGGAAGATACTCAATGTTTGGGAACTTGTGCCCAACTAGAGCGCAGTATGAGCACCATAATTTCACATGCTCAGCCAGATACCCCAACCCACGGTCACCAACTGATCCTTTTTGAAATCAACGCCGTGTAATGCCAGCCCCCTTTACACAAGTACAGATAGACCACTTTTGGCCCTTGCATCGTCGCTTCTGTTCCCGCCCACCCCCTTTACAAATCCCAAAGACAGAACTCTCTCTTAGGAGGCAACTCGGGCATAAGACCCTCAAACTTGCCAGTCTGCGTAAACGACTGCCACTGCTGCTTCGACTTGTCATCATATAACTCGTCGGGTAGCTCAGTGTCCTTGTAATAATTTGGCGGACCATCCGGGAACCATATCCTCGTCCACGCGCCGTTGAAGGCTCGAATGCCAGGCAGATTGCCTTGGTAGGTGACGGGCTTGCCCTTCCAATTGGATAACCGCCCGTTCATGTCCTTGGAGCTGTAGCTCGACACTGGTGGATGCTGCCTCGAGCTCCCCGGCGGGTACGGCCCGCTCCCAGGCGCCGCCGCTTGTTGCGCGGTGGGCGGAGCTGGTGCAGCGGTCTGCCCTCCAAATGGGTTTGGCGCCGATCCGCCTGCTCCGAGGCCACCGGACGGCTGGCCAAACGGGGACGCATTGTTCTGTCCAAAGGGGTTCGTCTTCTGGCCAAGCTGAGCTGGTTGTCCGAATCCGCTGGCAGGCTGCGTAGGCTGAGCAGTCGCCGCCGGTTGACCGAAGGTGCTGGGCTGCGCATCGGTTTTCGCTCCAAAGGGATTGGTCGCCGCCGGCTGCGCTTGAGAAGGCTGACCGAAGGGACTGGAAGATGCAGTCTGAGCCGGTTGTCCGAATGCACTTGTTGTCGCAGGCTGTACTGGCTGACCAAACGGACTTGGGTTCGTCTGGGCGGGAGCCCCGAAAGGGTTGGCATTCTGTGTCGTATTCTGCGCGGGCTGTCCAAAGGGGCTAGGACTGGCCGTGTTCTGCGAAGCCTGACCAAATGGACTGGATGTATTGTTGCTGCCGGCGCTGGCAAACGGGCTGGCACCGCTCGTCGCGCCTCCAAAGGGGTTCGGCTTCTGCCCAAGAGCACTTGCTTGGCCAAAAGCGCTGCCGCCTCCGCCAAGTTGAGATGGTTGGCCGAAGGCACTGCCCCCTGATGCCGCTGCTGGTTGTGCCGGCTGCCCAAACGCAGGCGCGCCGAAGGGATTGGGCTTCTGACCGAGGGCTGAGGCCTGGCCAAAAGCCGATGTGCCACCTCCCAGCGCGCTGGGTTGTCCAAAAGCGGATGTAGGTTGCGATGTTTGCCCAAAGGCTGGGGCGGAGCTACTCGTGGCACCGAACGCCGACGTAGGTTGTGATGGTTGCCCGAATGCTGAAGTCGGTTGCGATGGCTGCGATGTTTGACCAAAAGCTGGCGCGCCAAAGGGATTCGCACGTTGCCCCAGGGTCGCAGTCTGGCCAAAGGCGCTCCCTGTTGAAGTTCCACCGCCGCCGCCAAAGGCAGAAGTCGTGTTGGTGTTGTTAGAGGAGAATGGGTTTGACGTCGCTGTGTTCGAATTTGACGAAAAAGGGTTCTGCTGTGAAGAAGCGCCGCCCCGTCTTCCAACCGCAAACTCCCCTGTAGTCCCGCCTGGCGATGTGCCTTGCTTGCAAATGTCTATCCTGTTGGGGTGCGTTTGCTCGGCAGAAATGATGAATTGAATAGCTCCGTCAAGGTTGCCCACCGCCGTCTTCATTTGTTGTTGGGCTTGCTGGTATAGCTCTTGTGCTTGATTGAGCTTTGGATTCCGTCAGCTGATAGACCTGTAGACCTGAATAAGGTGACTTACCGCTTGCTGGGGATTTCCAGAAGCTTCCGCCATCATGTGAACGAGTCTCATTTCCTCAAAACTCTGCTCGCGCAAGTTGCCTCCGAAGAGCTGTTCCGGAGCGTCCCTGCCGGGGCCATAAGCGGACAAGATCCATTGTGGCGCTTCCGACGTCAGGTCTTTCTCAATGGTCTCCTTTGATAGCGCATATGGAAGCCCTGGTCGCATGTGAGTAGAGTGCTTCGTTTAAAACTCCTAGGAGCCGCGATTGTTTGGGCGAACCATCATTGTTGTTGCCGCCTCGATTGAATCCTCCTGTGTTTTGGCCAAAGGCTGCAAAACGGTTGTTATTTTGCGACCGTGGGTGCTCGAATCGGCAATTCTCTGCGATATCACGTATTAGCCTCTTCGATCCGAGTTTGCGATCGAGACCCCTCGGGATAATGATGGGTGCACAGCGAGTGACGTACGTCCGTACCTGCAGTTCCCCTGCTCGTAGAACTTGCAGACTACCATTCTGGTTGTTGATCGGGCGGTTTCGCAATGCAAATGGCGTGATGACAGCGGCTATGTCATTTCGTACGTGTTAAGAGCTGAGATTAGCCAGGGATTCGATGGTGGACAAAGAATCAAGCTCTTGTAATCTCCAGAGCTCGTAGATTGGGCGTCGAGAAAGAAATCATTGGCAGCCTTTCTCAGCCTTGCCGGCGCGTGCCCCTAGCGCGCCGTGGTAAGCCAATGGGGAATACGTACTGTGCGTAAGCAGTGGACAAAGCGCAAGCACTGTCCTTGCCTCCTCTGGTCCAGGCAGGTGCACTTACACCACGAACATTCAATATCAGTTCTTGACTTCCTCAAGAAGCATTCGAATTCATCTATTTGATCGAATCAAGATGACTCGGAGTTCTTTAATCGGCTTTCGTCATCAACAAGATCTTCCCGGCCTTTGAATTTCACCTTTATGTCCCACCGAAAATCGATTCTACCAATCCTAGGAATTGAGAGGACAGCGTTATTCTAATTCGTCGACGCCACAATCTTCTCTATACGAGTCACATATTCAAAAGCAAACCAAGAATCGAGATCATTGTTTCATTACTCCAAATCGGTCATAGCTACTCCGTGGAATCCATCTATCCAATAACACCAGCAACCATGGGCTTCAGCTGCTGCTCAACATAGTTGGGGTTTCTCCACTCAGACCAGTCCGCGTTCAACAGACCCCACGACTCCTCAAAGTTTTGCGTTCCCTGGCGGATGTAGTAGCTACCCACCAGAACCCAGATGAAGAAGCTGCCCTGGATCTGGGGCAAGTAGGATGCCAGGCACGTCGAGTACGTGTTGAGGTATGTGTTGTCGTTCATGTTGAAGCCAAACTCGGTCAGCGCCACGGGGAAGACATTGACCGTCACAGGGTCCGATGCATTCATGGCCTGGAAGCCCTTGGTGTACAGGTTGTTGCTCAAGCTCGCGCAGCTGCCGATGGAGCCCTCGTAGTTGTGGATCTCGAGAACGAGCTTGTCGGCGTAGCCCTCGAAGTCAGAGAGCTGGAACGTGCCGTTACCGGGTGTCAGCGCAGTACCGCGGAAGACGGGTGCGACGGTAGTGTCGTAGTTGAGGCCAGAGAGGAAGATGAGAAGGCCAGGGTTGGCGCCGTTGATGGCGTTGGTGCCCTCCTGGATGTACTTGTACCAATCCTGCCAGTTGTACGAAGCAGCAACCAGCTCGGCGTTATCCGTGGCCTCGCGAAGCTCGTTGCGGAGAGACATGGCGACGAGAGCAGTCCACGATTTTCCCTGGCGATGGTTATCAGCTTGGGTTCAACAATATTCTGCCTTCTTTCGATTCACTTACATGGTTGGCCATGTAGGTCAGGCCGCGCACCCATTTGGCGGCATCGAACTCGCGGTCTCCCCACCAAGTGTTGCCGTCGTTTCCAGAGCAGCACCACTTGCCGGTGGACATGTGGTTATCGAGGAGGATGTAGACTTCCTGCTTAGCGCATTCGGCAGCAATGGCATCGTACACCTTTGGGGTTATGTGTCAGCGGGTGTCAAACGTCGCGGCAGAGCTGATAACTTACCTCGAGACGGGTGGTCGCCTCCGTGAAGGAAGGGTTATTGGCCAGAACCTGAGCGAGGACGGCGGTGCCGTTGGTCTCACCGAGGCCGTTGATGAAAGCCGTCTTGATGTCAATGTCCTTGCCATCGTTGGCGTAGATCTGATCGACGAGCTCAATGGCGTAGGTCAGACGGATGGCGTTCATGCCGATGCTCTTGATCTTAGACACGACACCCTCGACGGAGAGGAACTGTAGACCCTCTGGGACCATGACCTCGCCGTGGCCGGGCCAGTTGGTGCCGGCGAACTGGATGTGGTTGCCAGCGGCATCCACCGCCCAGCGACCGTTCGTCACAAGCGGGCCATTGGGCCAGCTGGTCTGTCTGGCCTGGGGAAGAGCGGCGCAAAGAGGCGCGACGGAGCAGGCGACGGCCAGAAGGGAGGTGAAGAACTTCATGATGTCGGGCAGTTTTGACTGAGAAACCGACGCGTCCGAGATGGGAGCTATCACTACAGAGAAGGTCGCAATGGCATCATCTTGCGGGAACCATTGGGATCTTATACGACCTCAAAAGTTCACAGAGCATGCAGCTCGGAAGCATTCCCGCTCCAATCGAGCAATCGCCGTTGCTACCTCATCCCACGGACCGAGAGCGGGACCTGCAGCCAGACCAGGAACGCGACACTGACATCACGAGCATTGGCGGCAGTAGCTTAGCCTTGGGAGGGTGCAACGTTCCTTGAATCAACGGTCGCCATTGTCATGACTAGTCTTCGACCGCCTCCCTCAGGCCGCAGCGGGGCATCTCTCGGGTGCTCCCTCAGGTCATGATACCAAGTTGCCAGGGTAGCGACGAACCTCGGGGGCGGCTTTCGCCCGAGAAGACGAGCACAGCCGGGGCAGACATACTCTTGGGAATGGAAGCCAAGGGTCCAAGATTTACCATTGAGTGGACGCTAGAGAGTCAGGCGATGATTGTCGCCAGGAACAGCAAGCTTGTGCCGGACGGTGTGAGATCGGCTCCCGCCTTCTTCGAGACAAGCTGAAGCCTGGACAGATTCTTGCGTCCCGCCCCCGCATCGCTTGTCGAATATGCCGATGGGGAAAACGACGGATCCCGGCTCCCCAGCTCTGATGCCTTTAGTGCTGGTGTTCCCCACACTCCGAACCCCTCTCTTCATCGAACCGCTCAACGGTCCAAGCATCCCCAAATCGGCCGGTTCTGCGCCATCACAAGATACTAGTTTGGATGGTTGATGTTGCATGGGAGTGGAGCAGAGAACTTTCACCGTACCCCGGCTCCGTGATCCCCGGAAGCCGAACGAAACAAAGTCTGAAAAGATACGAAAGAAAACAGACAATAGCGGAGACGACGTGCCTGACAGGGAAATGCCCGCTGCCGATCAAGAGCCGGACCACAAAGACTAAATGTGACAGTTGGGGAAACAGGCAAGCGGGGAGAGCTTTCGAACGATCTGAATGGCGCGCAAGTTCGGACGGACGAGTTCTCGCGAGGAACTCTCACCAGCATTTGGCTCCACCGCGATACCTTGGAACGAGGAGGTGGATTCTCTGCCATTATTGGTTCTCATCATGCACGAGAATCAATTGACACGTGCTACTAGATTCTCTCGACGCTCGATGACGACAACTTCACAAACTAGCAGCTTCGAAGGTGAAGCAGTGGGGATTGTCTGACCCCAGCTTCAACCAAGCCATCCTCGGTAGAAACAATAATGTCGACCTCTCCGGCCTCGCTCTCATGCCCTCGCCCTGAACTCCAACAACGGTCCATCCTTCATACTCGTAAATGTGTCGTACAACTGCATCTCCGAGACCCGCCTCCGGCCCTCATCCAAATCTGCGCGTCCCTCAGCCGGGTCAAGTACGCCCACCGCCTTGCGCACGTCGTACAAGAACAACGTCCTCGCCAATGCGGTCGACATCTCAGCATACGCGAGCCCCTTGCCAATACATCCTCTGGCTCCAATCGAGAACGGACAAAACGCGCTCTGCGCCCTCGCCGTGTCGGCCTCGGTCGTCTCTCTGCCCCCAAACAACGGGTTTGCCGCGCCGACAATCCATCGCTCGGGAACGTAGTCGTACGCTGAGGGGAAGTAGTCCTCGTTGTGGTGGATCGTGTAGTGCGGTGTGCCAACGACGGTTCCGGCGGGAATATGCGCGCCGTCAATGGTCATGCCGCCTGCGAGAACCTCACGCGGGAGCAGGCCACCGACGGAGGGGGACAGGCGCATCGCTTCGTCTATGCAAGCGCGGAGGTAGGTGCATGTGTTGATTGTCGCGCCTTGACGGATTTCCTCGACTTCGGAGAACTTGCTGCGAATCTCGGCTGTTGCGCGCTGGAGCGCCGCAGGGTTGCGGGAAAGGTAGAAGAGGGTCGCTGCCATGGCTGTTGACGTGGTGTCGGCGCCGGCGATGATGCTAATTTGTGTGTCAGTCTTGGCTCACATCTCTGTGCCTCGAAATTGGCTAGGAGTAGTATGAACTTACAGCAGGTTCGACTCGCCCCAGAGCTCTGGCGTCGAGAAGCCCAGTCCAGTCTCCGGGTCACGCGCCTTGAGGAGGTAGTAGAAGAAGTCGCGTCGATCGGTATCTTCGCCAAGCTTCGTCCGCTCCGTCAGCTGCGCCTTGCTGTAGGCCATATACCGCGCGCGTCCAGCCGCAATGGTCGGGAAGAGGAGCTTGTCGAGCTTGAGCTTGTCGACGATGGGCATGGTACCGCACTGTCGTCCGTCAGTTCATGTTCCTCTCAAACCACTCCGTCGACAACGTCTACTCACAAGAAGATGCCTCTTGGTCGCCGCAGCGATCAAGTCCAACGCAAACCGGTTATCCGGCGCCTCGAGCATATGAAACGCTTTTCCAAACGACAAGTCTCCCAAGATATCCATGGCGAGGTAATTACACCAGTCCGTCATATTCTTGGGCGTCGACCACCCCTTTGTCTCAGCGGACGCGCCGCGACCAATCTCGGCGGTGAAGGAGCGCACGTTGCCGATGATGTAGCGCTCCATCTCCTTCATGGCCGAGTCGGAGAAGCCGTGGGCGAGGACGCGGCGCTTACGGGCGTGGACGTCCTTGTCGCGGGCGTTGTGAGTGTTGGGCGCCGGGTGGACGAAGGCGTTGTAGAACTCTGCCTTGCCGACGTTGGAGCGGAAGCCGTAGATTTCCTTGAGAGCCGTGGCGGAGTTAAAGGAAACTGAGTTGGGGCCGAAGCGGACGATTTTGCCTTCGAGGGTGTTAGTGATGGTGTCCCCATGGCTCCTGTCTCTCTTCTTTCCGTCCTGCCAGCCTCTTCTGCTCACTCTAGCAATGTCTTCCCCCGGTTTTCAAAGGGTATGAAGGATGAATGGGGAGGGTGCTGAAGATGGGTAAGTGACGTACCGTATTGCTTGTGAAGCTTGTAGAAGTCGAGATGTCTATCGCCATTCCAGGCGTGATAGAGCTGGTACCCATCCGTGACCTTTGCGATGAACGGTCCTGGATACTTTGCCAGAGGATGGAAGAAGATGCGGTACACGACGATACCGGCGACCTATATCGTTGACTGTCAGATCGGGTCCATCCATTCTCTTGCCGACGCAGCTGGGGCTTCGTAGAGCCGCTTCTTGGCGTAAATGGTGACATTGATGAACTTACATAGAGCACGCCTCCCACGGCGGCGAGGCCTAGCCAGGCCCAGAGATGACTTGAATCCATATTCACTCTTTCCTTTCCTCTCGATTCAACGGTAGTGTGATGTCAAGCGGCAGCCGGTTGTCTCTCGCCGTTGTGAGTAACCTCCACACAGCAGTGAAACACTCACGAAGCCGTGAATATAGTTCGATGTAGTGGTATGCCAAACACCAAGTTCGGTCCTTTTCCCGATGAAGTCTTTCCAGCTTTCTTTCTTCACAGCAATTTCACCTCACGTCTCATCCGTGTCTCCCGGCGAGAAGGAGGGGTGCACCTCTCTTCTTATCTGTCATACACGGCTCCTAACCCTTTCCCGGCCTGCTACCCATCGGCTTTCCACGGTCCAAGACGGGAATGGATGACGGCGCTGGCGGGTGTGCGCTTTTACCCCACGCCGCAAGGACCGGGCTGGCCTCCATGGACAAGAAATTGGAGAAATGACAATAGGCGGGACGAGTACGAGGCACTGTGCCTGCGCCAAAATTTCAGCTGTAACAAGTGACACAGTCCCCATGCGCAACCCGTCTTACCTGCCCTAAGGTGCCTGGCATTGATTACTACCAATACCGGTACCTACTTAGGTGCGCCTGTAAGAAAAGAGGCGGGCAAGGGCGCAGGTCCGTCTTATCACGCTTGCGCCCGCCCAACCTTCCTGCTTCGGGTGGCCTTCGAAAGCGGGAGTTGGAACGCTGCGGCTACTCGCGGGGATACACAAGAGAGAAAGGGAGGTTGAGGACAGACGGACTTGGATCTCGTTGGTGACGCCGCAATACCTGCTTACCCCAGACTTTGCGTTCCCATTTCTCTTCTCGGCTCGTTCAGCCCGTAGATAGCCATCCTGCCGTGGGTTCCTCACGCAGTAGGTCCATACTACCCCAAGATCTCGCATCTGCTATTTACCCACCCGGCAAGCTTCCCCCGCCCCAATCCACGCCCGCCAAAAGCCACACGAATGCAATATATGTGGATGGCATGGCGCTCCCCCGGCAGCAAGGTTTCGCAAGTGTGCATGTGAGCCAACCGGAGACGAGGCGATTACACATTGCCATGCGCGGTGAGTAAGGGTCACCCTCATTGCTCAGAGTGCCTCTTGGCCTTTTCTTGTCTCTTTGCCGAGCTCTAGTACTCTTTCCCGATATTTGAAACCTTGTCTTACACCATTCCCGAACATCCTCTTTCCCGACGGGCTTCTTCTTTCCCGAGGATTTGGAGAAGTTGGAGATACTGGACGAATCATTGGTGAGAGAATTTCATCGGGCTCGGCTTTCGGCGGCCGTCACCGTTGCGGGTCCTGCGGAGAAGACGGGGGAAGAAGGTAAACTTGGATGGCGGGGGAGGAATTCCGCTCCAGGTCCGCGATTTACTCGTTTGGCAACGGCTTGAGGGCTTGGAGGATTTGACTCGTTGTGGGCTCGTTTTTGAAGAGGTTTGGGGTTTGGAGTGTTATTGACTGGCAAGACAATAGTCATGGAGATACACAGATAGACACACAAATACATACAGTAAGTCCTAGGCTTCTCACCCAACCTGGGTAGCAATGCAATACGTTTAGATAAGGCACCCCGTACTTCCACAGCTCTGGGTTCATCACAACAGGGTGAGAGGTATACTGGTACTTGTCGCAATCCGTAAGAAGCATGGTGATGACGGCATCTAGGTCGTGGTCTCGATGTAGAAGCTTGCCGTTTTCCTGTTCGACGTTTAATTTCAGTACACAGTCCATACCAAAGCTACGTCTCTCTCCACCCACTGCCTCCTTT